TCCAGAGTGTGGAAACTTTCTCGTCTTTCTGCTTTTCTTCCCCTATAATATCTTGGAAGGCCTGATAAATCCATAATTTTGTTGTGCTGTTGCCTTCCCCAGAAGGGTTCAACTAAGGGACCATGGATTACGAACCTCTTCAGTATATATGTGAGCTATAGGATAACACAGCATATCACTGATGGTTTATTTTTAAAAAATGGGTGCGCTGATCAGAATGTATTCAGTGAAATTGATTTTGGATGGATCACCTATTACATAATTAGGTAGCTGTTTCTATTTGGAGGAGCAAGGTTACTGAAGAGGGGGCTATAAAGATATGTTCACTAAGCAGTCTGCCTTATTCCACCATGAGCATCTAATTTCTTGTTGGTGCTGTTCATTTGTAAGAAATGTATAATATAAGAACTTGGATTTATGAAGCCTAACTGTTGTGAAATGTTCTCTCCAGCTATGTGGCTGAGCACTTGCTGATTATCTCACTATTTCTGAGGCAGAGATGAATCTCTGTGGTGCTCCAATCAGTTCTTTGCACTACTGGGTATGTGGTCACGAAATCCGTACCCTTTTTGATGTGGAATTTGTCCTGGGTCAAAAGAAAATTAATGGCTAAGAACTCTTCGGAACATTTCTGATGTTTAAGTGGAGTGGGCTAGTCATATTCCCTGCATCCTGGTTGCAGCTAAGGAAAGATACCAGTTCTTACCTGTTAAAATATTTTTCATTCTATAATCTCTCTATCTGTCCTTTAAATGCACATAAAATTTATTTTAAGCTGGTTAGAAAACCACTGCCTATATTTCCTGCAATTACATTTTCAGGAGAACAAGAGCAAACACTTCAACGTGAACCCATTTCAGCATAGGATATGGTGCTATTAATCTGGGTGCTTTTTTAGGCCAGCCTGGGATCGTCTTATCCATATTTCTTCTTAGATGCTTCCAAGCACAGGTACAGGCAATTTGTCACTGTTACAGATAATCTTGTTGTTTGCTCTAGTGTAAGGTTCCTGTCCTGGATTGATTAATGAAATGTGGCTTTATCAGTGCTCAGTGTCTTGATGGCACCCCTTTAATCCATGTAATGGGAAGCATGCAGTCTTGAAATCTTGTATTTTGCTTCCCCTCAGCTGCCTTTAAGTATCTTGGCTATCTTGTGTCTTCTGTTTGGCCTGACATGTAAGCATTTTTAACTATACACTCGGAACCCAAAATCAGTGAATGAATTAATTGTGTACAAGTGGATGAAATTGGAGGGTTTCGGGAGGGGATGTTGTGTATTCAGGTGTGCTATCACAGCAACAAAAATCAGAGAAACTTGCATTTGAGGGACATATTGTTTGAAAGTAAGTGGACTGTGGGGGGCAAACTATATGTTCTCTCAAGAGGTGTTATAGATGCAGGGACCCACAGATAATGGACCAGGCTTTCACTGAGGAGTCAAACCTGATCTTTTTGATGCAGGAGGTTAAAGCATTAGGGCCCCATCCCCAAAGATTTTAAATGAGCCTTGATGGATTCCTAATATCCAGGGAGATCTTTTTAAAAGCTCACCTGCCCAAAGACCACTGGAGTTGCAATTTATAATACCCTGAGTTTGGGGATGGGGGAGTTTAGGGGGACTCTCCTCTGGATTCCAGGGTGGCAGCCTTTTCAAAAACCTGGTTCAAGCTGATTTGTGCAAATGTCAGGAACTTGATAAGGGGATTTCCATATTGTATAATTCATTTTCTCCCGTCAGCTTCCCTCCTCCCACCCCTCCACACTGGTCATGCTGCAGTCTTTCAAAGATTACCCTTGCTAACTCTAGCTTTATGGATTTTTCTTTTTTTTTTTCTTTTGAAAATGAGGAAAAGGAAGTTGGGTAGGACAGTCTAACCCACTTTGTGACTTGTCTCAGCATTTTGCATTTTTGAGCCTTTGGATATATTCTCTACAGAATGGCATGGAAGTCTGTGTCAGAGTTGAAGGGGAAATTCAGTCAGTAATGGAAATTGCTGCTGCTCAGGAATTCATTTGTAAAATATTAAAAATTATATAAAATCCATTTGTAAATGGATTGAAGAGAGTACCCATTTTCTTAAAAGGTGGCAATATGGGATTTTTTTTCCTAGGGTCTAGGAATTTGATTTGTACACATCAGCCCATGAACATGAAATTTATTTAAAAATCAAATTTTCCTCTGTGGTAGGGTTACCAGATCTGAGCTGCAAAAATCCAGATGACAGCAAAGATGCAGAAACCTCCTTGCCGCCATCTAGTGGGTGTCCAGAGCCTTGCAGTCCAGATCGGATAACCCTACTCTACTGTGTCTTTGTCTTGTTTTTTAAACTTTGCTCCTTAAGTTTTATCTGCCATTCTTCCATAAAAGTCACATGAAAAATTCTGGCAAGTGTATATATGTATGTAATAATAAGCTTATCTATATATTTTCCACCCTTCTGATCTTTCCAGTCTTCTGCACTGCAAAATTTCCATTCTAACCTTCTCTTTGAATCTTCCCACACTTCACTTTGATTTGTAAATGAAAAAAATGGCTTTGAAGTTTGTCTTTATATTAAAAAATGTATGTATTTTAATACACTGTATTAATGTGGTGCTTCCATTCATTTTAAAGTTGGCTTTTTTTCCCAGACACGTCACTGTTTTATAAATTCTCTGCCATGGAACGCAATTGGGGCCATGACTTTAGATGGCTTTAATTGCTAAGCAAATCTACTGAGGAAGACAGATCAATTATATTACACAAACATAAAATATAAAAATGTTCAGGATCCTGATAGCTTTAGACTATTAAATACTGTGGGCAAACATCAGATAGCCGTCACTGATATTCTCTGCTTCTGGGAACATTTGTTTGGCAACAGCATGTTGAACTAGAGGAGGTTTTGCAGAAACTATTGTGTAGAAACTATAATGTACAGTATTCCATACCTTAGAGGAATTCTAGCAGGAAGAGTGTGGAGAGTTCTCCTGCTTGGCACCTCCTATTCACTCTAGTGTCCAGACTCCACTAACACTATAAATTATGGTAACAGAATAATCTTTTAACTTCTTGCCTTCAGATGCTGAGTCCTGTCAGAATCAGCTAACGTGGCCAATATTGAGATAGTCTGGGAGCTTTGGTTTAAAACATTTGAAAAGTATCGGGTTGTCCACCCCTAAATTTTGAGGACTTGTCGCTTGAGTGACAAATTTCTCAAAGACTGGGGTTAAATGTTGGGGGCATTAAAGTAAAGTACTGATGTAAAACTGCCATGCATGTGAGAATCTCAATCTACAAATATTATGGCTCTGCCCAAACAGCCTTTTTCATTCTGTCAAGGAATGTGTGTTGTCCTAAGAATAGGTAGCTAAATAAATAGCTGGAAGAATTTACAGAACACACTAAATCACGAACCATGCTTTATAAACCACACAACGTGCTATGTCACAAACAAGCAAACCTGCTTTTGATTTAACGTGTTTTGTTGCCAACTCAGATAGGTTCTTCTGGCTTGACCACCTGGTTGGTAAGTTCATGTATACAACGTTTCTGATCTGAGATAATATTTGAATAAATCCAGGGTGCCATTCACTAGACTTAAGCAAGTTTCCTTCCTAAACATTTACCTGCCTTGAATGGCAAGGAGGTAATAAGGTGTCCTTTGTAGCTAAATGAAGGCTTGCTGGAAACCCAAAGCTCCTACAGTGGGGCAAAAAAGTAT